AAGAAATCTTCAAATAAAATTATATAATTATTTCTAAATTCAGAGATATATTTAAAAATTAAGATATATATAGAGAAATTCTAAAGAGAAATATATTTCAAATAATTTTATGAAAGAATATTATCGCAGAAAAATTATTTTTTATAATAAATAGAATCATTTAAAAAAAGAATCAAATCTAAAAAATTAATTCTAGAATAATTCTATATTTATATATTTATTTAATAAACAAATGAAATAAATAAAATCTAAATAATTTCAATTTTCTCATTATTCTATTTAATTTATATTTTCTTATCGAGATATTATGATTAATATAAATAAAATAGAAATCAATATATTATTATTAAAAGAATCCTTTTTTTTAATATTTATCAGAATAATATCTAAAATTAATTGAATATAATATTTATTAGTTTTCGAATTAGTCTATAGCTCTCGATTGAGATCACTATATAATCTGGATCCGATATTCGAACCTAAATTCAATACCATCATCTTGGTTCGATATTATTCTAATATGATAATTTTCTAAGAGATATGTAAATAAAAAATATCTCAAGTTATTATGATATGTTAATTTGACCGAAACGAGGTATAAAATAAATGCCATGATATTAAATATATCATTTTTAGTCGATACCTTCGCAGCTCGATAGGTTATTGAGTTCGCAGGCTCTCAGGTAATAGTTCCCATACAGTGTTCTCACCTGGCAGCTGCAGAGATGCATGCTTGGAAGGAGCATTCAAACGCAAGCGTTAAGAGAAGCAAACAGCCCAGTGTTCCCATATTTAGGTCTTTCGTGAACGAGTAAGCAAAGCTTCGCTACCTCAATCGCATAAACAGTTAGCTTGACGGTCATGCTGGAGTCAAGCATCTCCAAGTACCGTCAATCTGTACAGCTTCGCTGTCCCTTCTTCTAGGGCTGCTCTCATACCATGACCATCGCATTCGTCTGACCGGCCAATTTGAGAGGAATCCTGACGCCAAGGGCAGTCATGATGTCCAGCCACAGCTCCCTGAGTCGTGAAGCCGCAGCACATCATGCAGTGTCCTCACAGTGGAGCCGATCCTTGGCCAGGACAAACGCAAAGTGATCTCAGTTCGTCCCCGCCGACCCCACTGCGGCTTGGATCTCAACAAGTTTCGCGGTGTTGATCTTGTCTTGCAGCTTCTTCAAGATCTTCGGCGCATCAATCCTCTCAACCTGGTCGTGAAGCTATGCACCATGCCATCATATGCCATCCCAACTCTCGAATGTGTCAGAAGCAAACGCACCATCACGCTTGCGAATATACAAGAAGCCGTGTTCAGAAGCGACTGTAGCTTGTCCTTCACATGCCTCTCCACATAGCCGCACCTCATTCCAAACATATCATCGACCACCTATGAGGCTTGGTCTGAAGGGATGAGCCGTAGCTGTGCAGTGCATAGACGACGGCAATCCATGTCAAGGCATGTGCTGTCATGTCCAGACCCCGTCCAGGTTTAAAGGCAGAAAAGCAGACACCGCTCGGCCAAGCGGCACCGACGCGATCTCGATACCAAGAATCTTGATCTTGCAGCCATCTGCAGTGATCTTGTCAACATTCCTTCTGTGCGATCATGGCTGAGTGCAAGACATCGACAAGCGTTTAGACGCAATGCGTGCAAGAAAATTAGCACGGTGGTTGCTCTCACCATCCCGGAACCCTCCGTACATGCTATGACAATCAGCATTTGCTTCGCGGGTCATCTGGTTAGTCGGAATGCCACATGTGACTGCGTTGCGAGATGCTGCCAGCTGTCTATGCCCCGCCATGCAATCCAAAGTCGACGCTTGTCAGACATACACGGCCCAAACATGGACTCACATCGCGCTGCAGTCAAGAGTCCACTTCAGTACAGTTCCAACAACATCAGCGTGGAAGTTGAAGGAAAGGTACCACGTGCTGTTCCTTCAAAGAGGAAAGAAGCAAAAAGCTCAGGCCAGCAAAAGGCTGGCTGATCTCTGGCTAGGGCTCGAAACTACGATATCTAATGAAACAACAACTAAAGGCGTCCTCCAGTAAAAATGACAGGCAGTACGAGATGAACGGATAGGGTCTACTAATTTCCAGCTGATAGACATTATACGTTGCGGGAACGTCTTCGCAATGCAGCATTGGCACCTGCGAAGCCCAGTACTGTTGGACGCAGCACCTCTCCACAGTCTGCAAACAAGGCTCAGATACTCCAAGTGGGCGTTGCTGGCTGTCATGTTGATGCCGATGCCGTTCTGGCCATCAGAATCCTTGTGCTATTACGACATTTACGCTCACTGTTAGGATCGGGTTTCAATCGGAGAGACTGTCCAGCTTAGAACCAACAGTTTAACAACTCCGCACTCGTGAATGCGAGTGACGACGCTGAGGCCCATCGTCTTCCTTAGCTCGAGGTCGAAGGGTCCGCATGGGTCTTCAACTGTGTTGACGATTCGCTTGGTGGCTTGGCTGTCGTCAACAAGGAACGAAGATAACAATCTACGTGTGGGAAGAATGTGAGTGCCTTGGCCTTGGCTACACGGCTACACATGGTTGGAGGACTTCTTGATCTCCTTAACAAGCAGCTACATACTCCGCTGCAAATTTCCACCATTTTCCACCGGTCTGACGTCGCAGGCTATTTTGACAGGGCAAGCTGCTTTCCGTTGACACACCCATCCTCCATGTATCGCGAACGACTTGTTTGCTCGTTGACGTTGCAAAGCTCTGGTGCGACCGGAGGCTCGGTTCTAGGAGACCCTGTGGACAAGGTGCAGAAGGCAAAAGCCATGGCTGCGACGCAAGGGTTGAGCACGGCATGCAGTGCTCATCGACATCCACAACGCTTCGATGAGTTTGAGAATTTCATGGCACTGTCCGTAAGGCCGAGCTTGTCTTGTTCTTTGGCTGTTCGGCTTCAATAAAGCCCGCTGTGGTCGCCGGTGCCTGCCCTATGCTGCCCTGACTGGGAAGTTGCTTCAATCGGGGGGTGACCGTTAGTTTGAATGAGATTGGCGGCCAATCCTACCTGGCTTGCCCTGGGCCACTTGCATCATCTGCACGCTCCTCCTCGCCCAACTCGTAAAACAAAGACTGCCTCTTCGAGGTCGAGAGGTGCAGAAATGGCACTTCCCTGTAGGGAAATGGTGGAACTCATCGCGGACACCTTTTTCGTACGGGTTGAATAACTCGCGCTGACCAAGTCGCGGACTCGCTTAGTCGGGCAGCTGACCGGGATCGAGGCAATACGGCCGGAGCTCAAGCACACGAATCAAAGGCGTCAAGCTGAAGATCACCCAGAGGAGGCCAAGCGTATTCAAGTTTTCGATGTGGAAGGGAGGTTGACCGTTGTTTTTCTTGTCTGTTGTTTTGTGAGTAGGCTGAGTCGCCATGGCGGAGGCGCCTTGTGCCGACTCCTTTTGGTTCTGCTGGGGCCGAGTTCGGAGTCCGAAGCCGAGTGGGACGAGACGACCGCTGCCTCGCCCCCAACCTCCTTCCGCCTGTGCAAACTTGAGGTCCGCCAAACAAAGTTTTGAGGAATTGTGCTTGAAGTTCTTCAGTCATGTGGCGACCTTCTCAGATTCTCCAACGCGCCTGCTGTCAGCGGGAGCGCCGACGCCCCGCCGAAAACTTTCTCACCAAATTCAACACTGTCTTCCTCCTCGAGGATCCTGGAGGCCATCGGTGCCTTGGTCGTGACGGAGGAGAAGTCACGTTGCACATCTGCCAGCGACTTCCATAGTTGGCCTGAGCGAACCCTGGCTAAGATTCCCCGGGCTGCCCTTGTCGAGCGCCAAAGCTTCGGCAAACGGGACGGGAACTCAGCCAGATGGTTCGGACAGTGCATCCTCATCAATCTCCTATTCTTAAGTGCAGGTAAACGTGCTGCAGAGCTGGTTCGATAGCGAAATATAGCGAAATTAACTAACAAGACGGCGCAGACACATGCTGGTTGAAGACGTGATGTGCAAGGAGGGTCGGAGCGAAAGCCGCTCGCGATAGGCTCTCGACTGAAAACGGATTTGCAGGCAGAGGGGGCTATCAGGAAAACATTGCTTTCGGGGCATCGAAATCTTGGCCAAGAGTCCTGGCAAGCTGCGTGCAGTGGTGTCCAAAGATGTGCTTCCCGACGCGAACACGGACATCACCTTGCATCACACAACGCGGAGCTGTCAGAAACTCAACGGCTTCGGAAAGCCTTTGTTTGATGAAACTGTACAGCAAACGCAAGGGCTGGCAGAAGAAAGGATGTCCATGTATAGAGATCGACAGCCGCCGCCAGAACTCTCTGCACTTTACTAAACTTTGCGAACACGCTGCCGCCGATGTCCAAAATCGCATCAAGCTCTGCATCGATGAACACAGATACAGACTTCCTGATGCATGGGTTCGTGACGGGATCAAATGAACAAAGCGTCTTGCAGACTGGCAAACAGGTGCGGCCAGTGCACCATGAAACCTTCAGGCCTCCCGTCAAGAAGCCTCAGCCACTGTGTCACGACTCTGGTGATGCTGCAAACGTCAGGCTTCTTGAAACTTCTCTTCGGCCCAAGAACTGGAGTTCTTGATGTCGCCCTTGGCGTGGCCATTGAGTGCCTCGACCTGACAAAACGGGTCTTGGAAACCGATGCCCCATTAATTATACACTTAACTGCCGTATACTATGGACTTCCCTACCACAGCGACACATAGAGGTGACTGCTTTGGCATATCAGTCTGGATCCCGCAAGAGTCCTTGTGGTTGCAGTCGTCGTCGATGGTTGTGTCAGGGAAGTGCTCTTCAATGATCTGGCCATGGTGGTAAAAACTACTTACTCCGCAGACAACCGAGCAGTGTCGCATGGCAGAATGAGGCTGCATTGCATGCAGGGTGCAATGTCTCCAGACTCGATCTTGATAGCTGATTCTGCTTGCTTGAAGAAGGCACCTGGGGCGGGCAGATGAAGATCTAAGCTCAACATGTTGGTGCCTAAGCCCGCAAATCTAGAAGACGCCTTGGTGGAAACGGCTACGCCTACCATGTCGGCCAAGAGTCTTAAAGGAGGCAGAAGCAGCGATGTTGCCAACCTCCAGTGCGATTCTTTCAACACGCAGCCGCATGTTCAACAACGGCATTTTCTGACGCAGAACCCTGGCTCACACAACAACCAACATAATGCTATGATGCTGCGACAGCTGAGCATCGCAAAGCAGCTGCAGTGTGTTTTATTCTAGCACTTGTGTGCCAAGCGTCCCGTCACGAGGACCAGTGGAGTTCAGCTTTGCAAACTGATCCTGCACCGAAAGAGTTGCAAGCAGACGCCTTGTATCCGGCGCTGTGTCATGCGGCTCTCATGTGACTGAAACGGATTTCAAGAGTGCGAGCCACTCAAGCCGCATGCGCCAAATTCCACTCAGGACGAAACCTTCGAAGTAGCTTTGAAATATCAGCCGAGCAGCTCAGTTCAGAGCCACGGCTTGAGGTCGCAAGTCATATCGAGACAAAGTAATGTCAGAACCGAACTACACAAGAAACTCTGCTGTCTGCTGGAACACAACCCTTTTCCTCCACATGCCCTAACTCCAGCCTCAAGCCTTTAGTTAATGCCCACGATTTCCCGTCGTGGTCTATCAGAGTTACACGGATCCCAAGCTGCAAGGGAGCTGGCATCACCGGTCTTTCGAACTCTCTCAGCATTGCCCGCTTTGCGAAGTCCCCGCAATCAAGGCTTGCGTCGGCCAGTTCACATGCCCAACCCCCCCCCAACCCAAAACACTCCCATCCCCGAGGTCGCTTTCAATCATGGTCCTTCGTCAGCTCCAGGGACGTGATGGGAAATCCATTGACGCCGGTCGCAAACAGGCCAAGTACCTCGAGGTTCAAGTTCAGCAATGCTCTCCGAAAGAATTCAACACCATTCTGTATTCTGTGGCAGGTGGCTCTGCAAGTCTAAAGATCTGCAACATAGGCTTGAGTCTCGGGCCTGCCAGAAGACTCTCGGCGCCATGACGGACGGAATTCCGAAACTGCCGAAGCCGCTTGAGCCTGCTTGTGCCTAGAGCTGCGAAAGGCGAAAGGCTTCGAAAACACTTGCAAGAGCTCGTCGTCAAGTCTGGATGCAGCGGATGCGGCAGGGATGTGTCTGAAAAAGCTCCAGACAGGTCCGGGCGCACCACTGTGGGACTGCTTGCACTCAACACACCGTTGAATGCAATCACGAACTTGCCCTCCTGGCAACGTCATACTGATCTTGACCGCGTTGCTTTGGAGCACAAGAGACGCGGCATGAGCCAGCATATGCCAGCTTTGAAAAGACCTTAAGGCAGGCTGAACACAAGGTCCTCCCAGGTGTCATGTTGGAAGCGAGACGTTATCGGATGGTAGGAATTGAAGTGGGACCTGCCGCTTACAGACTTGCTGTACCATCCTGGCAAATTCATCTTACTTCTCAGCACCCGACTGAGGGGCGACTCGAACTTCCGGCGGATAGACCTGGACTGTCAAATTCAAACAGTGTGCGGCAGTGACCCGACAGCGACGAATCAAGCACTGGCTTGAGTGAGCCGACACCCTGAAGGTCATCTTCCCCTTTGGTTGCCCACTCCTCTCACGAAAGAAACATGCTCACCTCGAGCTTCCCTACCTGAAGGGTCTACACGGCACGGAATGCACCGTGAATCCCGTATAAGGCACTGTGCACAGACTGCGAAAGGAAGTCCTCCAAGTTTTCCGACGCAAACTTCCGAGGGTTGTCCTGCGCGCAGGATGACACTTTGAAAAATACAATGTTCGCGGCTGTGGAAAGACCAGTCAAACAGATATCGGCATAGCAGAAACACAACAGTTCGGCTTTGGAACAGAAGCTTTTGCAGGAAACCAGATCTTTTGAACACCTCACGAGCTGAAAAAAGATTCACACCCAAGATGCGCAAATAATTACCAGCCAAAAGACCTTCAGGAACTGCCAGGCAATTGCTGCGTTCTCCCACCTGAAATGCATGCAGCTCTATGTGTCCGTGTGTGTGTGTGTGGGTGCATACGTGTATGTACATATATATATATATATATGTACATATACCCAGAGACATACACCAAGATGTCTGGGAGCTTCCACCAACCTCTTGGTTGAGCAATCCGACCAGGATGGTTCAGAAATTTGCTGCTTTGGTTGAACCAGAATAGCGATTGGTGCAGGAAACTGGTTTGGTTGAGGAATCGGTCCTGGACATATCTTCTTGCAATTTCTTGCATGATGACTATACATATGCCACATGCACACGTATGCTTGTAACGCTGTCATGTATGACATCTATGTGTTTGTGTGTCTCCTCGGATGTGTTTATGTGCTTGCATGCACATAGGCAGCAAGGAAAGATAAAGCTTGAATGCTGCAATGTGCTCGAGTGTGCCCGAGCGAGACTCGCACCAAGGATGGTTGATCCATGGAGAATCATCCGCACCTGGGCCGGTGCACCACAAGCCTACCGGCGCACGACCCACTGTCAAAACCACCGCAAGCCAAAGAAGTACTTGGATGCCTCGTCTCTTGCATGCGCAGACCACAACCACACACGCACACACTTTCCCTCTTTCCTGTTCTTGCTCGTCCCTGTTCTTCAAAGAAGATCCATGTATGAAGGGTCCATGACGACACCCCGTGATCAGTAGCGGGACCTCGACTCGGTCTATGTCCTTGGGAATATGACTCCTATGGGACTAAGTGTTATCCATTGCCAGCTTGAGCCCCACAAAATTCAAGGCCATCACATGCTCCACTCTGCTTCTTATGCAGGGCACGTGGGACCGACCAGGGCTTTCCGGGCTGTGGGAACGTCCGAATACGCAGAACAAGCAAGTGGTGGGGCTGCTCTCTGCTCCATCCTGTTCCGAGCTTGGAGCTTTCCAGCCTAGGAGTGCACCTGCATTCTTTTCTTCTGCTGGGCGTAAGGGTCGTGTTACCCGCCCAACCCCTCACAAACTAGTGAATGGTTGGCCTTGGGGCCCCAGATGCATAAGGCAAAGAACTCCGGGGCAAGGGGAGTGAAGGATGAATGTAGCTCATCATTGCTCTCCCTCTCTTGCTTGCTTGCTTGCTTGCTTGCTTGCTTGCTTGCTTGCTTGCTTGCTTGCTTGCTTGCTTGCTTGCTTGCTTGCTTGCTGGCTGGCTGGCTGGCTGGCTGGCTGGCTGGCTGGCTGGCTG